AAGTTTCTCTTTTTGTAACAAACATTCGAGCATGAGTAGTTTATTTAATTCAATTCTTGTTTTCTGTCACAGTTACTCGAAGTTTGAGGGAAAGTTGCAAGACAGTTAAACCTGATCCCTTCTCACTAAGCCCATAAAAACAAGTGTAGTAAATTAGCTTACATTAGATTGACGTGAGCCGGGCTGCTCTGCCGGTTGTTAACCTTCCTCCTGTTGCACTCAAACGTGGTCAAAGTTCCAACAGATACCATATTTTAAATTATTGCTGAAATCAAACATCACGTTTACCGGAAAGGAAACAAGTTTGACCACGTGACCATTAACCCTCATTATTGACAACGGTGAGAGAATGAAGCTCTCTTTTTATGACAAACATGAGTAATTTTATTGAATTTTAATTCTTGTCTGGACATAAACAATTAATACTAGCCCGTAAACGTGGTCTTTTATTTGTTTATTATCAGTAGAAACTTCCTATAGGGGTATATTTTATTTAATAATATTTTATATACACCTTTTGCTGTTCATTGCAAGAAAATACGCAGTCTTGTGCGTGAAACGGCGACCTATAGTGCGAAGATACATTCATTAGCGCGAAAATACGAAGATTTGCGCATAAATTAGATTCAATTACGATTTCTGCATTTTAATCAACATTCAATAACACTTTTGGGCATTCATATACGTCATTGGGCATACAAAAGAGAGAAATATACTTTCATTAAGGCCAACATCAAAGTCATTAATACCATCCTGAAAGTCAATAGCGACAACTGACATACATTAAAGTGCAAACACTATTCATTAACATTTTTACGACACTGTTTGCAATTCAATAGTATTCCTGGACAACCTTAGGATGGATAAGACAAACATTAATGGTCTTGTACAATCAATTGAGTGTTCTTTACATTTAATATACAAAAATCGATTTTCAATTAAACAATAGAAATTCAAACAAATTTGGCCTGAATTTCAGTCCGTTAAATATATATCCCTTAAAAACCTCCCTATTCAAACATTTTGGGAGGTAGGTTTGATGTCGAGGGGGGAAACATAAGCTGTTTACGTACAGAGCTGGAATGGCCAAATCTAGGTGGCTGCCAGGCACCCCGTCATACGCAAAGACCGCCGACTTATCGGGATCCATTTTTTCCTCGCCCGTGGTAGAAAGTCACCGAAAAACCGACACAGTATTCATTACTCCAGCAGCTTCCGAGAAAAACATTTGATAGGTACTTATTAATACAGGTCTGTCATAAAGGATACTGATGTACCTCAGATTTTATACGTAGGACTTAAATGAGGTAGTAACCCAACGCTGGTAATTTTAATTACTACACTGCTAGAAGGTGATCGGGATTGTCACGTGACTGCAAGCAGTCTTTTCCTGTATATGAGATAGTGTTGCCGCATTAACCAATTAGTAATAATCTTAATTTTTGATTACTAATATTAGTGGTATCGCATTGGGCAACAAAGCAGTGAGGACAGCCTGGTTCAGTAAAATATCACTGTAATGTTTTTTTTTTTTTTTTTTTTTCAACTTTGTTTACTCGGAAGCAGAGATTTCTTTGTCCTCATGATAAGGAAGTAACTATTTTCTGACAGATGACAGCATAGCTGCCCCTAGACTCGTATCCAGGTAAAAAAAGATCAGCGCAGTTGGACCAGTTGTAGATATCAAAATCATTTCTCTTTTTGACTATTCTATTTTTCGCTTGTTTGGAAAATGTTGTAGTATACGTTCTAATGATTGTGTTTTGATTTAGATATAAGGGGCTTGCTTAGTGCTGTAGATTCGTTCACTTCTCAGCGTCTACTTGTACAATCAGCTCAGCTCAAATATCAAAGCCGGTGTCACGCATTATATTAATTAGGTTGTTTCGTTAAAGGTTTCAACTTCCTCTGGTGTGAACGTGTAAGTTCCTGCCAGGAATGTTCGTGCGAAGGTGCTGCCGTAGCTGTATCCGCTCGGTGGGCTGTAAGTATGGCCAAGGTTGCTGTAAGAATTCCTATTAGATGACGCGTAATTTTTGATGTTAATGTCATGTCCGTTTCCGAATGTAGGCCCATAGGATGAGTAAAAGTATGTGGAACATTTGCTTGAACTATATTTCCCTGACTGAGACAATTTGACAGGCGCCCATCCTGGCTTGTTTACCAGCGAAAATAAGAAGGCTTTTGAGTCGTATTGACACCAGCGAGGACTAGAAGCTAAAAGAAATGAAACAAAACTTTTCTAAGATAAGTTAGCGACATTGTCCTTATGCCTGTCATAATGATGACGATGATTATTATTATTATTACTAATTAAAAATAGTAAATACCTTATTCTCATAAAACAAATTCGATAGAGTTTCTCAGTAACGTTCGTCATTTATCAAAAACGAAATCAGTTTCTATGTCTTCTTTATTATTATCATTATCATTATCAATATTGTTATTATCATTATTATTATTATTATTATATTATTATTATTATTATTATCAATATTATTATCATCAGCATTATCATTAGTATGAATATTATTTTATTGCATTATTATTTACGTTCAGGTATTTTGGTAAAAGATACAGCTATACTAAAGGCAAGCGTGGTTCGTCTGCTCAGGAGAAAGTTTTATGTGGCTGCAAGCTCACCGAGACTAAGGTGCCGGCCTGTGGGAGATTTTATTTTTAAAAGATTTGCAATTACAAGCAATAGATCTGGGAAAAAATTAGTAATTAATAAGTTCTGTTCATTTATAACTTTATGGAGCAAATCTCCAAATTTATCTGTTTTTGTCTTTTTTACCACTTACCGAAGCTAGAAGCTTCTTTTTTACATGAACTGGTGCATGTCGCAATACACTTTTATTGGTAAATTAATACTTCGTTTGATTTTAAGGGTACTGTATTAAGAAGACAATAAAGGAAACAGACAATAAAGAGTTTTAGGAGCCTTTATCCTTGAAAAGGTATAAAACATTATGTATTTCTGTCACCCATTTCAGTCTATTAAGTACGTTCGAATCCGAAGAGAAGAATCCTCTTCGCAACATTTCACTTAGGCAAAATTACAAAAGTTTGATCGGTGAAATGAACCTTCGTCTTGGTGTATCACGTACGTGGACATGTCAAGAGAGCGTGTTTTTTCTTTGCCAAAATTTGCGAATTTCACCAAAAACTTGCGATGTAGTACGTTAGTCGCTTCTGTTGCAATATGGTAATTGAAGGATGGAAGATAGCAGGGTGGCAAGAAAGTCAGAACAATATCGATACTTTATAACCTAAAAATTATTATTGTAATAGTGTTAGCCTGGAATTTGGACCCGTTTTGACAGGCTAGAAATGCATCACTTATCATCTGCAGAATCAGAACTTGAGAAGAGGGGGGGGAGGGGTGGCGCTCATTCCCCCCATGTGAGTGTAGGAGGGGTGGTCCTCGCCGCTTGAGGAACGAGGGGAAATGGGCCCGCCTCTAGAGCTATTAACCTAGAACCTTTGTCCGCCACTACTTAACCATGTATGAAAGGTAGAGTCACATGATTCCATATTGCTAAGTACCAAGCTGCACTTTTAGCTGAACATATCAATGCCAACTGATTACGTCAAAGGTATAGATGCCACTGCCATTGCTTACAATGCTCACTTACCCCATGAAATACTTGCGTATCCTCCGAAAATATATCTCCCGACCCTTATTATTGTCACAGTCGGGCCCTTGCTGTCACATCGTGAGTGAAATGTACTCGCAGCCCAGCCGTCCACGGATGCACGCCAGCAGCGCTTCCATAGAGAATTGACGCTTTTTGTGACAGGTGCAAGCCAGTTGCTTAGCGAGGTTAAGTGATTTTTGTTGTTTCCCACAATAACAGAGTCGTGCAAACCTGGGGAAAAAAATTCGACTTTTCCTATTTGACAAAAGAACTCTGCAGGGGCACCCAACGAGAATATAGTTCAAAACCACTTAAACATAGCATTGTTAAACGTATTTTAGTATTAAAACGGTAGATATAGGCATATTTTTATCCCCTAAAAGTTTTTCATCTGTTCGGATTTCCTAGCTGAAAGTCTAGTGACCCGAAAATTATAGGGATCAAAACTTACTTTTTCGAAACTTCCAGCCAGAAAAACGGCTCCCGAAAATTCTAGGTGACCTTTTTAGGGTAAAAATCCGTTGAAAATTGGCAATTATACCATTTTTTAGATGTTCGAAAATCCTAGCAGAAGCAGGCAAGCAAGAAATTTTACAACAAATGTTCCGAAAATTCTAGATCTCAAATCGTCTTCCGAACAGATATTTTCCGATAATTGTCGTTGGGTGCCCCTGACTCTGTTGAAGCTAAGTAGAACTATTTAAAAATTCGGCATCAAATAAATCCTTTATCAAGTGTAACATTGCGAGTGACTGGAGGCTAGATAGCAAAAGTCACTTTATTTTCTGGAGAGCAAATTTTTAGGATTTATACTCAAACTCGAGTATAGCCTTCCCTCCTTCTCTCCCTTTATACAATTGCTACACAAGCATATTCACCCTTTGACAACGACACTGCTTTTTAAAAATAAATAAAAGGCCATCACTAACGGCGGTCCTATATGTTTTACATTCCACTTAAGTATACAGTGTAGTCTGAGTCAGCTAAACTTATTAAAGTAGTCTTAAACAGGATTCAGGAACCCTTGGTCTTGCGATCTCTGTGACCTGTAACAAAGGTCACCAGGCGCCAGTTGGGGCAAAACGTGGATAGCGCTATCCAGTGGATAAATCTCTATCCAGTGGATAGTGCAATTGGTTTCCCAAATACTTATCCACTGGATAGTGATTTATCCGATGGATAGCGTTATCCAAAATTTCAACAACTGGGGCCTGATGTTTATGTTACTAAATGTTTAATTTATGTCTGTGCGGACCTTGCAGCTTAAGACAAACCTGCAGCTGAGCTACGCTGCACTGCCACGTTGACTCTAGCTTTCTTTGTTCCCATGATGTTAGTAGCTACACAGTCGTATAAACCGGTGTCGGCAGGAATCAAGTTGTTAATGGTAAGTGTGCCTTGGTTTATTTTCGTTTTTCCAGCAGGTAAAGGCATTGCTGCTCTAGTCCAGGTTACTACGGGACGAGGATAGCCTTGAGCTTGACAGGTTACTTGGAATGTAGTGCCTTGTACCGGTGCAGCAAGTAAAGGTGGAACTTTTGTGAATATTGGAAGACCTGGAAAAATAATTAATACCAGGTTGAAATACTACAACTAATTGGACGACACCGTGGAGGAGAAGAAGGGGGGGTACTCTTCAAAGTGTTATACTGGGAGGCTCCGCCCCGAGGTCCAACACCATATGTAATTTTCAACAGAAAAGATGCCCCTTTCACATGCGTAGTTTAGGACTTTGCACGAAGGGAGATCAACGCATTGTCTTCAAAATGTGAATAAATCACAAAGGCAGAAAATTTTCTCGACTTTTTCACAGCCATATCATCCTTCCGCTAGCCCTTTTAGATCTTTTTTACAGACCGAAATGACAGATTTCCCTACACTATTATAGCGGAGCACCATGGGTAAGAAAATTTGGTAAACTATCCATCCGAGAAAATTTGGTTGTGACGTAGCGTACGCCCGCCCGCCCGTCCACCCGTACACCCACCCGTACACCCACTTCATGTAAGCCGATGTCAAATGTCACAATAGATCTTGCAGACTTGCACAACTTGACTAGCCTCTTAGTTATGTAAGCCATCCGTATGAGTACGATTAGATTGACAGCTGTCAAGATCAGACATCCGCTGACAATTATCACATGACCATCTCGCGGGCTCAGATAAAAGACCAGTCGTTTTGCCCCTACATATAAGCTGATATAATATGTCACACTTACCAATTCAACACAAAAACGAAACTACGCCTGGCAAGGCTGTCAGTTGGCTGACAGTCGTTTAAAGTTATATTGGCAAGCCAAATTAAGGTCAATTGACAGCTTTCAAAATGGGACATGTGCAGACCACTATCAGAAAACTAATAACGTGGGCTCAGGCTCGCTCAGGTACACGATCTGGCATTTTCCAATACATGCCGGACGGATATGTCTTACTCACACTCGTAGTCTGTTGATTCGAATATTCGCCATTCTAATGAAGGTTAATTGACAGCTGTCAAACTAGAGTATACGCTGACCATCATTACCTGAGTGTATCGCGGGCTCATTTTTCTATCCATTGAGGTCACATAGTGTTTCAAGTTTTGCGCTGATATTTTATTTGATCATGGGCTCAATTCGAAGCCCCATAGCTTAGAAAAACTATCCATCCTACAAAATTCGGCAATCACGTGACCGTACACCGACCACCCGACCTTCCGTCCGTCCGCACCACAGGCATACCAATGTTTAATCTCACACTTTCTACCTACTTTAGGAGCCTGCAACCTGATATTGTACATCCATGTTTTCATTAATTGACAGCTGTCAAAATAGTGTTTCTGCTGACCAGTATCGCCTGACCGTATCGCGGGCTCAGGTATCGACCCAGTGAGTTCGAGTGTTTTTTGAAGGTATCCGCTGGCAAGTTGCTACCTTTCAAATGATCGCAGGCTCAAGTTCAATTTGTTTAAATTGCATATGAAATAAGTCGTGTTCATGAGCCGCACTTTTAGAATTTTGATTTCGAACTGACCTCGGACGCGAAAATTCATGCAGGGAAGGCAATCGCTTTTGTCTTTTCTCGCTGTCACGCGTTATCACGCTCTACGTCCAATTTTTATGTTCTGATTAGTCAAAATTTGACAGGTGAGTTCGTGCGGAAAATTTATGCAGCGTCTGGTAACTTGCTTACTGATAGCTGGAGCTGACAGAGTTTTGTGTCATCTTGTGATGTTTTAAACTGTCTTTTTCTACCTGGTGTACAAAATGAAATACAGCTGCCATCAAGATTGTTCTGTAATTCATGGCTGGTTTGTTTATTGCGCTCTTTGTTGACAAATGCAGCGCTTGTCAAAGTCATTGGAAATCCGATTTCGGATGGCATCGTTTTCAAAAATGAGCTTACTCACTTGCCCTTGCTTGAGGCGTAAGAGGGTTGAAAATTCTCAAGCGATTCTGGAACACTTGATGACCTTCAAAAGCAGCATCTCGACTGGTAAGCCTGAGCAATTATTGTCTATGATGTGTTTTTTTTTTCGGTTTCCTGAAGTCGAGCGTATGGTTTATGCGGCTTAAGTTTATACACGAGCAATGATCTAACACTACAATAGTATCAGTTTTAAAAAGCCTTTAGACATTTTTTGACCGCAAATTCAAAGAAAAGGTTCCGAAGACTATTTAGTTATGATTTTGACTGTAAACAGAAAGCTCTGAGCGATTTTCTTGCCTCGAGTTCATCTTGAAAAAGAGCAAACACCGGGAAGCCCGCTTAAAACATAAATAAGTTTATACTTATCTGACTCATGATTTTCAGAGACACTTTACTCTCAACACTTCTCTTCGTGAATGGAAATTATTGTCTCTGTACATGTTTCACCGAATTATATTTATTTTCTTGATTGTTAGTAGTCCCTCTCGGAATTTTTATCGCTGCACCGGTTGTTTCCTGTCAAACATAAACATCGCTCAAAACGCCGCGCGTAAATATCACTCGCTTTTAAAGATTACACATAACAAAACCATACACAGTTTAATAAATAAAGGGAAATAAAACCGAAACATAACAATTTCTCTATCATGTTGAAGCGTAAGTGGTAACTCTATTAATCGCACTGCAAATTTGGTGCCTGTGAAAAGTGAGAATCCGTCCGGCTGGCCGAAAAGTGATTTTGGGAATTTCTTTTTAATCGTTTTCATTAAAAGCCCATAATTATTACCGTGCATGTCACACAGGACCAGATTTTTCGAACTGAAAAGTCCCGGCATTATAGAATTCTCTTCATGAAAACGTTTTATAATTCAATGTTATAATTAATTTGTTGTGCAAAGGAAGCGCGTGCTTTTATCGTCGTGGATATTGAATGAGTGCAAATTCTCTTGCAAAATTGTGAAAAACTGCAGAATTATAGGTTTACATAGGGCAAAAAAGAACAAATTCTGTCCGAGGTCTGTATGATAAAAAAAGGGCCACATAGTAGTTACCTGAGACGTGATGAAAAAAGTACGTTTAAAAGGCTGGTTTACACGCCACCAGATTCGTCGCCAAGATTTACTAGTAACCTAGACTTGTCGAATACAAAAAATCCGGGCTGATCTTTTATTTTGGCTTCTCTTTTAGACAGAGGAATGCAACGTGTAAATTGGCTGCCACCAAGGACTATCGTGGCGCGTGTTTATATTTCGGGGTTGTCCAATTATCCATAGTCTCTCTAACGGAGCAATTTTGGAGAGACTGGTGAATGCCACATTATGATGCAACAGCTAATGCAAATACAATACACGAATAGGTCTATTTGTTTTCCAGGCCTAATCTACTGTGATCGAACATGATTGCTACTTTTGGGTGTACAAATAAGACTATTTAATAACTCGATGTAAAATTTGTTTCACTCTTAGACTGTCAAATTATTTTTCTCTAAAACCACTTAGCCTTTGCCTCAAAAGTCAAATGAATGTGCCCTGATCTGTGGATTACAAGTTTATTGTTTGATTTAAATTATGAATTTATTAACGGGAGCTTCGCTTTTAGCCCTGGCTAAATCTATATACTATACTTCAACTAGTAAAACACGGACCCTTTCATATACCTGAAGCCTCAAAATGGTACCCCCTTAGGAAGGAGTCGGCTCCCTGCACAGGGCATTCTAAGAAATACCCTCCGGGGAACGGCAAGATTACAACTGAAAAAATGAAAAAATTAGGTGTTTTCTTTTCCGGGAAACTTTGTCAAGAAATGTTTGTTTGCATAACAGAAAAGAAATGGAGCGATGAAACCAATTAGTTATTAGCTGGCAAATCTGTTAAAGGGTTTTTTCAAGAAGTCGTAGTCTGGCGGCTACTAAAGCCTTAACCGGATTCTGAAAGCGTGTCAAAATAAAGGTCAGGTGAGGATGATGTTCTGTCAGTGTACCTTCACATCGTATAGTTTTCTTGAGATGTTTATGCGCCGTTCAATTCTCACAACCTTATCACCTTGCAAGAACATGTAACATATAATACTGATATAACAAACAAAATTTGACGGCCTGTTATACAACAAACCTCAACAATGAATGCTTCTCTCACCTCGAACAGACAAGTTACCAGTGGCCTCGGACGATCCAAGAATGTTCCTAGCAGCACATGTGTACGGTCCAGCATCGCTGTAATTCAAATTTCTAACGATCAACTCTCCTTCTTTAATCAAATACTTTGCACCGGACAGAAGCTTTATGCCCTTAAATTGCCATTCCACGACTGGGGAAGGATTTCCAGCGACCGTGCAATAAAATGCAGTATTTCCTCCCTCATCTCGTGTCTGCTCTGCTGGCGTCAGCACCACTCGTGGAGCAGATATCGATTTTCCAGGCCTTCCAGGTGGCCCCGGCATGCCTTTTGGCCCAGGGTTTCCTCTATCTCCCTTTTCTCCTTTCGGTCCTGCGGGACCCGTCATTCCTGTTTTTCCGGATTTTCCAGGTGGTCCCATGGGACCTTGAGGACCTTTATCTCCCTTTTCTCCTCTCGGTCCTGCAGGACCCCTTATTCCTGTTTTTCCAGATTTTCCAGGGGGTCCCATGGGACCTTGAGGACCTTTCTTTCCCTTTGGTCCCCTCCTGCCACGTGGTCCCCTCGCTCCAATGGGACCAGGATATCCGGGGGGACCTGCAGGACAGACCTTCTCACTTGACTTACAGTACTTGGTTGGCATAAGTTGTTCAAACTGTTTGCTGATTTCTTTTTTCACTTCTTGTATGGTGATGCCAGTTGAAGTGTTGTTCAAAACGTTTCTTCGCTTTCTTAACCGGATGGTTGCTGATGCCTCTATTGACAACGGGCTGACTGCAGTGAAGTAAAATTTGATAATACCTTTTAATTATCCATTGATAAATTGTAAAAATGAGCA